GTGTTGGTATACTATTATAACAAATGAATTATTTATTTATCTTTAATAAAAACTTAAAATGTTTTGTTTAAAAATAAAACACAAACATATATGCATACATATGTATGTATGTACAAATGTATGTAAATGTATAGAAAATAAAGCAAATAACAATTTATTCGACATCGAAAATATTCGGTAAACATAATTTTTGTTTATAACAAGATATATGTACATACAATCATATATGTTTTTTTTTTTTATTAAAAATAGTGCTTAAAATAAAAATAAAAAATCTTTTCTTTTAAGTATGGCATATCGGAAAAGTTTAATTTCAATGCGTATGTGCATTAAAAGTAATTTCATGAGTACATTTGCACATATGGATGTGTATTTACAGTTGCACACAAAACACCTATGCGGTTGTACTACAGTTAGGGTGACCGAACGCCCTGATTTATCAGGACATGTCCTGATTTCAGGGTCGAATGAAAGTGTCCTGGCTGAGTTTTCATTTATCCTCATTTTTACAAAGCTGACCCTTTATAAAATTTTTACTGCGTAAACATATCGTTAGGCGCTTTTTTTTTGTACATCTTTCACATAATAATATCCCTGCATAACTCGAATGACCGAAACTACAAAACACGTACACAATTTTTCGATTGTCACTAACCCATAAATAGAGAACCACTGTGTCAAGGTACAACTGGTTTGTTGCCAGAACTGTGGCGAATGAAGACACCATAAGATATGCTATTGAGTTTTATCCTATTGTACCTAAAGATGGTGTTGAGCTTTTGTTGGCGAAATGATTTTCACAACATCCCACAACTTTCAACTGAGAACTCTTAATTCTTACCATTTAGAGTAAAAACAGTCATTTCAAAACTCAAGTGTGATGGAAAAGAAAGTGATTGCGCTAATTATCAAAAATGCAGTGTCCTGATTTTTCCTTCGACTCATCTGGTCACAATAACTACAGTGTACATATGAGAAAAATTGACGAGAATTATAATAATAGATTGACGCTTACACATATGTTAGTGTTTGGCCGAGCTTCTCCTCCGATTTGTGGCGTACGCCTTGATGTTGTCACACGAAGCGGAGCGGCCTACAGTTTTACGCCGACTTCGAGCGGCGATTGTTTTTTTTTATGAAAAGCGATTTCCCATTGCAGAAAGAAACTCGGAGGTTTGCCATTGACAAGAATTATAGCATTCTCTAAAAAGAAGAAGATCTATTCTGGATTTCCCTGAGAACTAATGACAAAGCTCAGCATTAAAAAAAATATCTGTGCGTATTACCCATCTCGAACGATAGGAATTTTTAAATGAAATTTTTTTTTTACAATTTCAATGCATAGTGGAAATATGTAAGTCATTATCCAAAAATATCGCTTTCAAATTTTGAATTCTTGGTTTTTAATGCAGATTTTGGCTTTGTGTGGGTCCTATGTTAATTTTGGGTTTCCTGTTTTTTAGTAGTTTCCAATATGTTCGCTGAGCTGAAAAAAAACTCAAACAAGGAAGAAATATACATATCGTCGCCTGGATAAAAGATTGTCGTATGTTACTTTGGGCAGGTTTTTGAGAAATCGCGATTAAAATTTGGATAGATTTTCCCCAAAATTCCCGAAGAATGTTTCTAGTTCACGAAATTCTTAAATTATTTCATAGCCTCGTTGCGTACGTCGTAAATTAGACTAAAATGAAAATGCACGACTCGACAACATTGGCATTGTCTATTGTCGTGCCGAAATAAATAGACGACGGAAAATTGTCGAAAACTATCCAGTGCTATCAAGTTTTCTCATTTAATGCATGATACGACTCGAATCTCAAAAACGACTTGCATTCGACACGACACTCGCAATGATGCTGTTTTTTCTACAGTTTATTATAATTATTAGTCAATATCTTCGGAACTAAAGGAGATACCCAAAAACTGATAACACTAATCGAAAAGCAGCCACTAAGTGATGGAATACAATAATATACGACAGGTTAGACACAGGCCGCCAAAACAAGATGGTCGCCACAGGGCGCTAACTTCGGCTTGTCCCAATTTAAAAGCCCTTTACGACGCATTAATTTAACAAAACTATACATTCTTCTTCTTTATTGGCGCTGAAACCGCCTAAGCTATGTTGGCCGGGTCCAAAACTATACATTGACTTTAAAAAATATGTAGAAATTCCAGTTTCAGACTGAAAATGCATTATGGCAGCTTTTTGGTATTAAAAAAAAGGGAGAAAAAGATTAATCAAAACTACCAAATCTTCCCCTTCTCGGTTTGGACTGATACTAAAAATAACTTTGTGTTAGTGTAAAAATGAACTTTTCGAGTGACCAAGTATTAATCGCAAGTACGGTCGAATAATTCACGAAACCATGTTTAAAAATTTAACGGTCTGAAAATGTTGGTTTTTTTTTTTTGTTTGTTCACTTCAAGAGAAATTTTTCCCACAATTTTTTTCAGGAAGACCTTTCTATTTCCTTCATTACTTCAAAAGAGAGTTTATGTTATAATAGAAATAATAGGTGAAGGGCAATTCGAAACTTTCCTAGTTCGAATTCCGTTTTGAATTGCATGCTGCTATACATATTTCTAAAATATATAGTGCTTATCATAACTATACGACACCCACATATCTACAAGTTTTGACCAGATACTTATTTTTTGTTAGATATTTAATTTAAACTATATTTTAATAAAAATAAAATTAATTCTATGTCAAAAACCATAAAAATCTTAGTTGCAAACTTTGTACAAAAATTTAAAAAATCAACATTTTCATCCAGAGATATGCAGAGATTTCTAAACACAGTTTGGCATATTACTTGACCAGGCCTAAGACCTGTTCTAGGCCGCTTAAAAAATTTGTTAAATATTCGTCATTTGGATAAAAGTGCATTTGCAAAAGATAGAATCTTACTTAAATTAGTAAAAATTATAGTTAAGTGTTGTCTTAAACCGAAGTTGTTGATTTCATTTATTAATAAGTTAGCCTTAATATCATTTTGTATATTTAAAAAAAAAAACATATGTAACTAAGGATTACAAATTAAATACATATCACATTCAAAAATATTCAATACGTATGTATGTACATTTTAAAGTTTTTAAACTACCTTTTTGCCTGCTTTATGGATAGAAATTAATTATGTACCTCTACGCATACATACATACAAATAAATACAGCTAAGCTAAGGTGTAAACATAAACATCTAAACTATAAAACTTAAAAATTTATAAGGACTAGCTTCGATGAATTACATTGAATGTTTATTTGTCTTATATATGCTTACATCATCCGTTATTCATGGTTGCTTTTTGAGCGGATTTTGGGATTTTAATTCCTTGTTTGGTTGGCTGTTTGTCATTTCTTAAGCAATAAATATACATACATATATCTATTCAAATTAAATAGCGTAGTACGTAAAATAAATTCAACTACATATATACTCGTTAGGGTGGTCCTCAAAATATCAACATCTAAGTTTGGCATGGCGCCCCCATTATTTTCATCTACATACGTACAAAATAAAGACATCCACGAAAATTTCAAATTTACCAAAAAAAAAAGGTTTTGTTGCCAGTTGGTAAGGCAACTGAAAAGAAAATTTTTATTACGATTAACAACTATCGTCAGTTGCTGTAGAATTAACAGTAACGGCAACCAGCAAGTGTTTGTAAACAAGCTGTGTATTTGAAATTAAAAACTGCAATGTTGCTAAGTTTAGTAAACCTCAAACATGCGACATTTAAGGTATAGTTCCAATCCTCTGGAGCTACCGCCTGCACTGTAAGCAAAAGTTATTGCTTTGAATAAAATGCCATGTGAATAAATTGTTCCCATAATTTAACATGCAAAACAAGAACAAATTGGGAAAAATTGTTTTTGTTTTGCATTATAATTTTTGGGAATATTTGTTCATGTGAAATTCGCAATTGTGCTTTCAAAAGAAGCTGTAGTATGAATACAATTCAATACCTCCGCTCCTTTGCTCCTAAATACGCATAAGTGTCGCTACCGGGGTTTGAAAAACTTAATATTGGGACTTATTCTTGTAAATTCATAAACTCATAGATAGAGTAATAGCTGGTCAAAGTCAAAAATTTTGTCGAATTTTAGCTATTTAAAAACAAAAAAATTTAATTTTTACAAAACCTACAAATTGGTTTAAAATTTTAAAATTTTCGTGGATGTCCGTATTTTGTATGTAGAACAAAATAATGGGGTACCCAATGATGGTAATATTTTACGGGGCACCCTAGTACTCATACTAATGTACGTATGTACGTACATGAAAAATAAATAGTGTGCGTGCGGAATATGGTTTATAAAGCATTTTTTTTTGCTATTCGCTTAGTTTTATAAATTTAAGTTATGTATGAATGCATGTAGTTAGTGCATATGTATTTGCACATATTTCTGAAACAAGCATTAGAAGCCAATTAAATTTTGTATTTGTTAGATCATGCTTACATTTATATGCACTAAATAGTTTCAATAAAATACAATGTCCAATAAAATATTTTTGCTATGATTAAAATTCACATCAAAGGGCTTTTTGCACACCTTTTTTCTTTGCTTAAATTTTTTTCTAATTACTTACACATTTGCACAGTGTGCAACAGTCGAAAGTCCAGTTCGTTCTTTGGGAGATAAATATGTATGTATATAAATGAATCTTAGCAATTAAATATACATATATAGGTTTTTGGTTTTCAAGAATTGTATCTACATATGTACATACATATGTATGTATGTACATTAGACTGCATCACCAAAAAAAGTTGCGATTTTTCCGACGGGATTACAAAATCTATTATAATGGAAAAATATTAAGATTTACGTGAGCTGGACCGATTTGAAAATACCTCCAAAAATGGAGTTTTTTATGAATAAAAATAGCTTCATAAAGATTTTTTTTTTAAAAAATCCCCTCAAATGACAAAACGGTTTAAGCTTAAAAAATTAGCAAAAAAATATTTAAAAAAAATTTTAAAAAAATTTGAACGGAATTTTTTTTTTTTGTATGTGGAGTGATGCAGTCTAATGTACATATATTGGGGCTGAGAGGTTGTGACGCAAATAATGCTGGACTGCCACACTCAACAATTTGTTCCAAGGGTAATCTATTAGCCAATACATATATACATAGTACATACATAAATACATACATGGAAAATATGTATTTGAATTTTTTGTTTGCTGTCTGTCTACAGTAGCGTTAGATTTATTTATGAACCCATTAGTCGTCAACGAACGTAGGTTTCCTATTTTAGGCTGCTACTAAGTTTCTCAGCTTAGGCCATTAACAACTCCTCGTGTAGACCTTCAGCATCCAGTGATTTGTTCGACTTGAACATAAAGTTGCTGTCACCTTGGCTGGAGGCTTGCGATTTCGAACTGGATGTCATGTTGAAAAGATCATCGAGGTCCTCGCTGCGGCGGTAGCTGTTGGAAGAATATGAGAAAAGAGAAAAAACATATGTACATATGTGTTAAAATTTGAATGCCCATACGAAGAAATTAAAACTATTTAGCGCATTTAGAAAATTTATGATACGATAGCATACTTTGAGACTTGCTACTCAGGTTCATCATATTCCAAGTATGAGTAAATATATGTATGCACATATGCAAGTAATTAGGTATGTATGGGTGTATTACAGCGAATTAAATTGAAACCATGATTGAAAACACAATGAAATGTTTATACATATATAATACATAACTTTGCCAAAAATAAAATGAAATAAAAATTGCAAATCCACTTTGGATCACTGCGGCTGGGGGACTTGTTGTGGTGCAAGCATTGGATAATCATGATCAGTAGAAATGATATTGTGTTCTGTTGACAGTTCGGGGAAAAAGTGATACTATTGTGTTGATATTCCCTAGACATAAAATGGAAAAACTACTACATCTGGAATCATTTTAAATTTTGGTTTTCTCAAACCGTCTTCAAATACACTTATAAAATGTCTCTCCCATGGCTTTCCTTTGCTGACATATAAAAAAATGTATGGCGCTCGCATTACTCGATTTACTATAACTCCAAGAATAAAAAATATAGTGATACTACTCAGACACATCTGTGTGTAGAGCCGGCAAAATAGTTTGAAAACTGAATTGGAAAAATGGACAACATAAAATATTCCCAATTTGACGAATTTGTATTTATTTTGGAAATATTTTGACATACATACAATACAAAAAAGAAGGTAGTATCAAAAAACAACTTTTGACGGATTTTTTGACATTTTTTGAAATTTCATAAATTGTGAATATTCTCTACGGCCTTGCAACTTTGATAATATTAAAACAATAAATCGGAGTATTAATCATTATCAGTGCTTGGTAATTTTTTCACTTACGTGATTCGCACCGTTTTTATTAAAAATATATAAAATGTAAAGGAGAATTTGAATCTCTTGAAATGTCATAATCAGGGCCGAAAAGTTTAAGCTTTTGCTGGGAATTGCTTATTTAGCTTATTCAGGGTTTCCAAGCTTAATTTTAACGAGCATGCTTATTTCAATTTATAAAGCTAAGTGCAGACCTTTTAAGAAAACGGTCAAGAAATATTTTTATATTATTTCGTGTGTGTGAATAGTAAATAGGCTGTAAATTATCAGATGTCGAAACTCCGTGGACACTATTCGTCACACACACGCAAAATAATAGAAATTTATTTATTGATCGTTTCCTTAAAAGGTGTGATCTTTATACATTAAAATAAGCAATCCCAAGCAAAAGTGTCTGAGTGACATTTTTTAAAAATATAAGTTGTACCTATATTTTTATAGTTAGTTAAATATAGTATTTATTTGGTGACAAAGATTATACATTCTTTAAATTAGTTAACTAAACTGCATTCATTTAGGCAAGAATCATTTCAAGTGCATTTACCCAACTTATCAATTATCTCAAAAAAATTTCAGATCTACTTAGATCCTTTTGACACCTTACAAGCAAACGAAAAGTTCGTCGTACACCCCTAAGTGCCCATTTCGAAAAAAAAAAAAAATGTTTTGCCAAACCCGGGGGATTGCCTTTTGACATTTTTGACATCTACATTCGGCAATAAATATATTTTTTTTCTCTTTCAGACAAATTTTTTAATAATAATTAGGANAATTAGGTTGTTCACACTTGCTTGGTTATCAGGTTATCTGGTTAAAAATTATTATTCTGTAGTGTATTTTATTGTTGTAAGCTGAATAAAAATTTGATAAACACATAACCAGATAACCTGATAACCAAGCATGTGTGAACAACCTACTAATTTTATTGCAAGTGAATGTGAAATGCATAATAAAGTAACAAAATTGCGTTGCAACAGATGTGAACACTGTGTGAATGCGCTTTGATGACTGTTGAGGGGGAAAGNAACATATAAACACATTCTTGCAAAATTCTTACGTTACTTTCTGAAGATAACATGATTTTCATCACAGAGATATGCGTACGTACATACATTAAAATATGAGTTGCTTTGGACGATGATCAATAACTCAAACACAGAGTAAACAATACAAAAATCAATAAAAACCTTTTTTAGCTTGTGTGAACGAAAATACATTGTTGGCCATTGTTTTTGCCTCAAGGCACGAGTGCTGATTTGTGTCCATCTGAAATTTCAGAACCAGCATAGCCGTTTACTAAAAGTAGCATTTAATCTACAGTCAACAGAAAATTTATGCAAATAAAGTGAAAAAAGCTATGTATTTAATTAAAGTAATTTTCTTCAATAAACCCAATACACATGCATAAATGAATGCATGAAGGAGTGTTCCCATCTTAAATCATTGTGAATGAACATAACTCTAAAGTTTCAGGCGGAAGTCGGTAACCGAGCTAGCTTACTGGACATAAAACAACTTAATTATTAGTGGTCAAGAATATTGATTGAATCTTTTAAGTGACCGAGCACAGGTCACAGGTAGTATTGTTCTATTTATCAATTTATGTACCTTCATATGACCCAGTGTGAAATATCGGTTCGTTACAGTAACTGGTCGAGGATTATAACACACATCGAAAAGTTGCGTTAGCGATCCCCAATGTGTCGGTAAGGGTTTGCAGAACCTCTCCACAGAGTTGCGGCCTGTACCAGGTCTCTCGTAAGGTGCATTTCGAATGTTACATGGTGTAATTTTAGTGTGGATTATTGCGTTACTATTGCTGTTATGATTTTGCTATTTTCGCTATCAAAATGAAATGCAATAGGTATCCAATCTCGCCAAAGCAATTTTTTCGTGTTACTCTTAAACGATTTGAATGCTGCCAGGTTTCTAGTTTCTAGCATACATATGTATGTATTTAATTCTTTCAGTAAAATAAAATACTCACTTAAGATTTTAACCAGCAGAAACAAATCTGTTGCTAAAGACCCCAAAAGCAATAAGATTTAACATAAAAAAAAATAAATTTTTATAACAACATAATTGCATAGTTTTACTAATGTAATTACAATCACTTTCACCTACACAAAAAAAGAAAACTTTAAATAAAAAAGAAATCGAAGTTTTTACATGCTTTTTATTTACATAAATGCTTTTTAGTTGTTTATATTATGAACGAGTTTTTTCCAATTTTAAAACATGACTACTTCTTTAAAACGCGGTTTAGAAAAAGAATTGCAGAATTAAATTCAAAATTTGATAAAAAAGGATACAACTCACATGTACATATATTAAAGTACCGGATAATTGCATACATATATTATTTTTGCAATTTATATTCAATTTCAAAGAATTTAAACGCCACTTGATTGCAGTCGTTATTTATAAGTGAACATTTTTGGGTTTTAGAAAGATGTTTTGAGTTTGAATTAGATCCTTACCTGCTTACTGGGCGACTATAGGTGGACATTGCGGGGCTGGCTGGATTGTTGCTTTCATTGTCTTCACTCTCCTTATTCGTATTCGTACTATTGTATAGATCGCAATTGTCCAAATATTCGGTGCGCAAATAGGTGTCGAGTTCGTTTTCCTCCTCATCATTGTCAATGTAGTCTTGTTCATTGTCTGGATCTTGCTGCGATTCTACCATGCAAAGCCATTGTGAATTGTGATTGCGGAACTTTTCAAGCTGGCAAAGAGTACAAAAGAGTATTTAAAGAATTCAGTAAATATTTTTTCTTAATTTTAAAGGCAAGACAATCTGCTTTCTATTAAAAATCAGATGAGTTTGGTTTAATTCCCTTTCGTATCATTCGAATTAATGTGTGGTTTTATCTGGATTACGGCCTTTCTTACCTTGATTCGTTTGGCCCATTCACTATCACTAATGGCGATTATGTCTAGGCAATAGTCGCAGACTTTTCGGATTTCGGCAT